TCTGTAGACGAAACGCGCGTCTGGCGTAAATATAAAGTTTCTGGTATCTATGATGAGTTTATTTACGGACTTTTAAATAAAAGTGGAATAGCTTGGTATACCCACTATTAATGAAAAACAATATAATATGTATATACTATTTAAATTTTTCTCCCTTTACACAAATAGAGACAAAAATATGCGTTAGTTGTGATCCTTCTTCCTCTGGTTCTTCTCATGTAACCTTGTCATGGTGAATACTGTTTTATATCTTGACACTGGTTTGTATTATTTTAAGTAAAGGTGTTTCCCTACAATATTGGTGTTGTGCATATCACCATGATCTTTATCTGACCTTGAACTTTGGCCGTAACATAACTTTATAATCCTTCTACATAGGATTTTGATAATTGACACATGAGTGCAACTAATAAAAAATATAATGTGTCGTATACCATGGAAGTTTATCTCTGACTTTGATATTTGTTAGTGTGAATTTTGTTATTTGTATATGTCCACCCCAAAAACCATATATATTTCTGCTTGCCATGTCAAGACCTATTCAGCGTAACGAAGGGTTTATCTTTTCTTTCATGTGATATATTGTAAATTATCTAGATATAATTAAACACATACCAACCCAACAGTATATATGCGTCATGTCAAGACCTTTCAATACACCTAAGAAATTAAGGGCCCCATTGACTACTAGTAGTTTGCGGGTGCCATATAATGATCATTATGTTTATCTGTCCGTCAACACTTCTATGTCGTTAGATGGGTAAAGATTGTCTCAACCGATTCAAAAGATCTGTATGCTCAGTGTTAATATCTATATAAGGAGAGGACCAAATATTTTTCGTTAAATTTTGACAAAAGTTCCGATAAAATTATTTTTTGCTGAAGGCGAAGCATCTGCTTGTGTGAGAAATTCATAAAAGTGAGTTGATATACATGTACAGGTATCATATGCTATTCAAAATTATTGCCCGAGGTCAAAAATAGTTTTATTTATAAACACAACAACAGGGGATAAAATGTAATGAAATACAAATCAGTTACGATAAGTTATATTCAATTTGAAATTTCAAAATTATTTCTGTGTTAATTTGAAGGTAAAACGACCGTAAAAACTTATTTTCTGTTAGCAAATCATAAGTTTTGGTGAATATCTTTTTGTGGTTGGATTTTTGTATTTTAGGATTTTAGGAAAAATTGATATACAGGTGTACTATTCTAATCATGATTATTTGCAGGTGTCAAAGATTGTTTTGTTTTTGTTTGTCTTTTAAAAAGGAGATAAAATTAAATGTTGGTAAAAATTCAAAAATTTTGAAATAATGTCTTCTTATCCTAAGTTTTCACAACAAAAATTAAATATAACTGTATGAATTATTTCAATGTGATAAAAAGTACCGAAAAATATAAAAGAGTTGTAAAAAATACTAAATTTTGAGAATCATCTTTTTATGTTAGGAATTGAAATTGGTATACAGGTATAATATGCTAATCCAAATTGTTAGTCGATGTTACTTGAACAATTTACAAACTTTGAGAAACGTCCTTTTGTGTTGGATTTCAACAAAAATTTATAAATACAACAATGTAGATTTAACTACATTACAAATTGTTCCCAGATGTCAAAATTGTGATAAAAGTGCAATTGATTTGAAGAGATGACAAACTTGAACAAATATCATTATGCTTTGATAGGATTTCAGTTCAATAACTCAGCAGATAGTGTTTCGATAAAAATATTTATACATATTTGTAGTTTTAATAATTCAACACATCCATTTACCAAAAAAAATTTGTGATTACTCTAAATTATACTAAGCAAATTTTTTACACAAGGTCTACCAACAAGATCTTCCTACATCACCAATGTAAAACTTATTCTAGTTTCTCGTTAATAAGTCTTTGCTGGAGATATACAAGATAAACAACAAAACTTCTAAATTTTTGTATTTTCTTCTTTAATCCACCATTTTCTACATATGTAAATGCCTGTACCAACTCAGGATATGACAGTTGTTTTCCATTCGTTTGATATGATTGAGCTTTTGATTTTACCATTTGATAAGGGACATTTTCCTTTGAGTTCGGTATTTTTGTTATTTTACTTTTTGCATACATTAAAAGGTAAGTTAACCCTGCCACAGATCCATATCCCTCTCGTAGGTCAGGAACCTCGTGGAGTATTTTGTGTTGACAGCACATCTCAACTATTTCTGTTTAATCTATTCCATCTTTATTATAATTTTGACAATTTAGAGCTTAACAAATTGTATAGACATATGTCTATTGCATGTTGCTCTTTATATTTTGCTTGTTTGATTTTTAACGTTGGGTTGCTGTCTACACGATGTATGTCCTTCTAGACGTAATGTAGAGATTTACCATATACATATTGTAGGTGAAATATGTCGTTTATCTTACTTATGAATAGGTTACTTATATGTAATATAAGTAATGTTTATACGACAATATTTCCAGCCAACTTTGATAATTAATCTTTCCAGTAAACATGCTGACATCTTGGATACATTTAATAAAAATACACAGATGACTTGCTACATCTTGAGATTAATTTCTCTGGCATTTGACACTTTGACGTTACACTGCCATCTCACCAGGGGACATACTAATATATTTTTAATCAGATACATGTTACAATTATTCACTGTGTGTGATGAAAGACAAAATAACTTTAGTCTCATAAAAATAATTACAAATTAATTAGTATATATAAACTGAAGGTCAGTGAATTCAGTCTCCTCCTACTAGATGATTGATGTACCCAAAATCTGTGTGTTTAAGCCATATGCATGGTCTTTGTGCAATCAGTTTCTTGGTTCAAAGCAGTCAAACTTGACAGTTTTATAGTGCTAGAATTCAATTTACCACCCACCAACCCCTTCCAAACACCTTCAATAATGTTCATGACATGAGGAACATTTCAGCTTTTACCAGTGACATTTTTTATTTTATTACTTGTTTTCCTTGATGGAATTTTATCACTGGTAATTTCTAAAATTTCATTCATCCCCAAGCATTTCGGGGACAAATTTTATCAAATTTATTCCAGCGCCAGATTGATAGACCCTGCTACTTACTACTTGTAATAGCACCACATGGGCTATCCCCCATGCAGACCTGGCACACCCCGGATGTAGATGAAACGCCTAGTCTCATCCCCTTCGTGGAGACCCCTCGCTTCACATTCCCGCCTGGCATATTGTCGGGCAGGCAGGTTCTTCCTCACACTACAGGTTGCAATTTGACTTGCTCGGGTCAAATTGTTCGGCAGGCACTCCTAAATTCTTAATTATGCTGCGTGTTTCTCAAGGGCCAAAATATTTTGTTATTGAATTAATTGTATTAATAAATATTATTCATTCGAAAGTTCTATCTGCTTTGAGCCAGTATGATTTATTGGGACTATGTTTTGGTTTACACACAGATACCCCTTTTATCACTTATTCTAACACTCATTGTTAGGGAGTAGGTTTAGATCCATAATGCTCAATTTCATAGATGGTGAGTTTATAAAATTTTGACTTGTTACAATTTACTTTTGACTTAAAACTCACCATTGGGGATTTTGTGGATTGTGATATTATATTTGAGTTTGGCTATCAAGAGAGTTACATCAGAACTAAGAAACATTGGATCTATAAGGATTTGTTTCATTACCACACAAACAGAAAATTATATGCATATTTACATACCAGGAGACAATTACAGATAATAAAACACCACCAATAAAAACCTTCAAAAAGTATGTTTACATTATGGGACAACAATTAACACAGCACACAATTTACACCATACACAACTACTAAGGACAATTTTGTTTGTATAAACGTGATATACATCAAGAATTAAGCACACTTTACTCCTATTTCTTGAGTGTACAATATATACAATATGTGATACAAATATTAATTTCCTCTGAAAAGCACACGTAAAGATCATGCGAATTACCCATACCGCTCGTGGTATATATGACATTTATTTTGGATTGACCTTCATAGATACATAAGGAATGACATCTTTACAATGAGACAGCAAACCAGTAACACAAAAACCCAAAAAACAAGTACATGCTAATTTTACGTGATACGTCCTAAACTATTTTAACTGTGTATACAAAGTTTTTAGACTTTGCTTCATGCATTATCTATCAATGAATAAAGTTTTTTTTTAAACTAATCGTTATGAAATATTTATAATGTACTAGTCATTGACGAATAATTTCTTGAGCTCAGAAATTCAAATCAAATCTAAATTCTTTCTATGTAATTATAAAAATATGTCATCATTGAATTTTAACAGTCATTTTCTTTTAAGTTTAATGTTATCAATATTATTAACCCATTGCATGCATATATACTAAACTAAAGTTTTTTTTCAATATTTATTACGAATCTAAAACGTATTATCAAAAAATAATATTGTATTCAGTGATTGTTGATCGCAAGCTAATTAACTTTCGAGTTTGTTTCCAAAGTTGATGGGACCGTGACATTGGTAAACAATCAACACAGAGCAACTGGGAAATAAATGAATGGATAGATCTATTTCATATTTTTTCAGGCGTCCCCGTTTGTTAATTTAACTTGTCCCTAATATTGATTAAATCATTTGTTGCATTAAATGTGTTCTTTAAGAATCAGTTATTACTATTTACCTTCCAGTCCTTGTTTATTTACATCCTTTCATCAAGATTTTCCCCTCGCACTTGTGCTGTGCGATGGCCGAAGTTCTAACGAGAGGTCTCTGCATACGGGAAAATATCGGCGAATATGTACAGGAAGACAATAATCCAATAGCAGTATATTTATGAAGATTTTGTTAATATAAAGGATTTTCTTTTACACGGTAGTTCACGTACACTTGTTTTATTGTAAAACTTATCTATTCGAGTAAATAAAACATATCCAGCTTTTTTTTAAATTGGAAGTTTCATATTACTGTAAACTGCTATTGTATGTTCGCTGTATTTATTTCAATATGTCGTCATGGAATTTATAAAATCATCTTGTCATTCCAGAAAAATGCCTCTAGTTGAGAACTCAGTTTGATAACACCCATTGTATAATCACTATAAAAGGTGTAAAGTTTGGTTATGTCTGATAAGAATCTTTTTGTTGAGAAATATGGTTTATACTGTTGTATATAGATATTATATGTTGATTGTTTGATCAATTACATACTAGGCAAACAGTAACGCTCGGATGTGCTTGCAAAAGTCAAAGATAAATTTCAATAGCTTATAGAGCAAAATATTTGGTTTGTATAGTTCTAGTCAAAATCCAGTTATTGATAAATGGTTAGACCAGTTGTATAGCGGGTTCTTGTTTTGGTATATTAATATATATGGGTAATATATTAACGTGAAATAATTTGGCGGTTTAAAAGGTTTAAACGGTGGGGTTCCGTAATATCATATAAAGAAATTTTGTGGGTGTCACTTCATCGAAAGGTGGTCACAGTAACTACGAGAGTCAATCGCAGAAGAAAAAGAAATAACATCCTTAAGATTGCCGATAAGCATGGGTAGGATACAGTACAAGAGTATCTGGATAGTCCGTTGGCCTATAATAAGGACGATGCTGTCAATTTACGATCTGCGATCGCCAGAGCTAATTCAAGGAGAAGAATTTCCAAAATATATGATCGTTCGGTGGAAAAATCAACTTATGGTAATGGTCGTCCAGACAAAAATGGTACAACATTTAATACCAAAGATCTTTTGTGTCCCTTTAGCTAATTCAACGTCAACGACGGGAACCGTGGGAAAGCAACTAGCAATTTCCAATCAATAGTGGGTTCTACTGTTCGGTCACATCGCAGGAATCTGCCCATTCAAAGGAGTACCATCTGCAACAGTCAGCTAACCAAAAGAACAGATTAAAAAAAAACATGATATGAATTCTTCAAAGTGATCAGTTATTAATGAAGTTGAGTATAATTTTGATAGTATAAACACTTATGAAACAGAATCAGGAAAAACACTAATTAATGTCAAAGGCAATTTAAAAAAAAAATGGTCAAGTTTGGAAAAATGTTTTATGTGCTAATGGTTTTATTATTAATACTTTAAATCTAGAATATAGAATACCATTTGTTAGTGAACCAAATTTTGTATTTTGTACGGAATAATATGTCTGCAATTAAATATTTGTCGAAAAAATCAATATCAGAGTTACTTGACACAAATTGTTCAAAGAAGTCACATCTTCACCGTCTGTAGTAAATTCTAAAACGGTATCTGTACAAAGTTCAGGTAAAATGAGACTATTACTCGATTTACGTCATGTTAATCAATATGTTGAGAAACCAAATGTGAAATTCGAAGGTGTCGAAGCTATAAATTATGCTGTTAATGCAAAAGATGGCTATAAATTTGAATTAAAGTCAGGTTATCATCATATTGATATAGATGCAGATCATCATTTTTTTTTGGATTTTCATTGAAATTTTGCAACAAAATCGTATTTATTACTTTTTCTGTTTTGCCGTTTGGCCTATCATCAGCTGGTCATATTTTCACTAAACAGTAAGAGTTTTAGTAAAACATTGCAGATCTTTCGGTCATCCTATCATTGTTTATTTACACGATGGTTTAGGTTTAGCTGTTGATTTTGATACATGTAAAAAATGGCAATCGAGTTCGCGATGATTTGAAAAATTTTGTTGCTAATAAAATAAGGCGTGTGGGCACCACAACATGGTATTGAGTGGTTAGGATTTATTAGAAATTTACAAAATTTTTCTTTAGAAATACCAAAAAAACAATTATAGTTTAAAATTGTGCATTTCTGCATTACTAGAAGGTACGATAAAACCGACTTGTAGAACTTTAACTAAAGTATGTGGTAAATTTATATCTTTTAATCCAGAATTAGGTTCTATTTGTCAAATAATGACTAGACTATATTTGCAAGTTATATCATTAGATATTTTTCACATATGTTTAAAAAATAATATAGTATTTAAAGTAGAATGGATACCACGGAATGAAAATACTTCCGCAATGCACTTAGTAAAATGTTTGATTGTGATGACTGGGGTGTTTCACAAAATATTTTCATTTTTTTTTAGTTCCTTATGGAGTCCATTTACTTGCGATACTTTTGCAGATGATAGAAATAAAAGATTACCTGTATTCTTTTCAAAATTGTTTACTCAAGGTACATCAGGCGTAGACGCATTTGCATAGGATTGGTCAACATTTAATAATTGGGTCGTTCCTCCTGTTAATATAATTATTCGGGCAATTAATCACAAGCAGATGTGTAAGACCAAAGGTGTTTTAGTATAACCAAAATGAAAGTCTGTCAGTTTTTGGCCTAGAATTGTAGATCGTTTAACAGATAAATATCAAGGTTTTATTAAGGATTATAAAAATCCGAAAAACTTTTTTGTGACTGGATCACATAAAAACAGTATATTTCCAAAACAGTGTTGGTACTGTTAGCTGATTTTAGTTGATGTTATTTCATATGAAATGTATTAATATTCGTGCAGTGCGATGATTATTGTCACGCAGGGTGACTTGAGTAACAGATGAGTTTTTTTAACTGATGTATGGACATTATTTTATTAAATTGCTTGGTGCGATGTATTAAGTCGCGCAGTGCAACGATTTATGTCACGCAGGGAGAGTGACTTGAGTTACAGTTCAGTTTGAACTGTTGTAATGTGTATTTTATTATATCGTTTGGTGGGACGTATTTGGTCGTGCAGTGCGACATGAGAGGTTGTAGAGTTTGATATATGAATACAGATATTATTAAATTTTGTAATTTGATTTTCATTTCTTTTATTTTTCTATTTGTAGTCTCAATGGAAACAATTTGAAGGTATGTCAATAATGCAAGATTAACCAGTGTGATTGATGTTTTGCCGTCTATTAAAGAATCTTCTCACGCCAGTACTACTAATGAAAAGATCGTATTTATTTTGAGAAATTTCGGAAATGGTGCGTTTCATACGGTCTTCAAAATTCACCAGCTACATCAACTACTATTTCCCTTTACATTGGTGGACTTATTAAACAAGGAATTAGTGTGTCTGTTTTGGATTCTAATTATTATTCAATTAAATGGCATCATGATAAATTTTAGTATTTCAGATGGATCACTTAGAGCTCACAGTCATTGGGCATCTAATAGATCTAAAGATTGTTACATTAAAGATAACATGCACTCACAAATGGCAGTTTCTTTGAATCTTGACATTTAATTCAAATTTCATTTACACCTTTGATATGTCGAAGTTACTGCGAGTAACTAAACCTATACCCAGATTTTCTAGATGTTTGTTTTATTCATTATACCAAGGATTTTAGTAAAGAAATGTTTTAAATTCGGACGAGCATTGCGAGGGAGAATTTAATTAAATTTCTATTCGTTGAGACTTGGGGTTTTCCCTGTGTTATACTAATGCTATGTATATGTTCTAAACGGGTTAGATTAAATGCAGTTGCATAACGGGTTCTTGTTATTGGGATATCAATATAAATGGGTAATATATGCACGTGAAATAGTTTGGCAGTTTAAAAGGTGGGGTTCCGTTATATTATATAAGAATTTTTTTTGGTGTCACTGCATCGAAAGATGCTCACTGTAACTACGACAGTCAATTTGTTGTTTATTGTCGCATATTAATGTATGATTACAATATTAAGTTTGATTTCAGTCCATTTTTATTCCATTTTATTCCATTCTGTTGTAAAAAAAATTGAATATTGTTAATATATATTGGTTTATAATGTTATTAAACATTGTTTGCTAGAAAAGAGAAAAGTTACTGCGAGCAACTAAACCTTTACCTAGAGTTTTGTTTTATTTATTAAACCAAGGTTTTTTTTGTAAAGAAATGTTTTAAATTCGGACGAGCATGGCGATTGAGAATTTAAACGAGGTGTTCAACTACCTTATGAATTGAAATTACGTTAAAAAATAAAAATTATGATGATAGTAAAATATAATGTATGACCTCCGTGATAACAATATATGCTTTATTATTTCAGGATGAAAATAATAATCAATAAATGAATTATGCCATTTCTCATTGGTGTCCTACTCGATGTGTCCAGTTCAATGAAAAGTGTTTTCGAAAATTTTGAAGAAAAAGATGGAAAGCAGTCGCTTTCGGTTTTTAGTGTAATAAACGATCTCGTTGGAAAAAGTGTTTCACCTGGCAATGGTGTCTTTGCAATCGGTTTCGGAGGGAAAAATGTCTCGACTGAATTTGACATACTTGGCTCCCTTCAAAACTTCCGGGAAAAATATGACAAGGAGGTCGACTTTCAAATGTATGAAAAGATGTTACAGAATATATATCCTTATATAAAGGATGTCAGTAGTATCCCTGTTGACAAAATTAAGAATCATGTGCCTTTCTACTTGATTAAGCTTGTTTCTGACGGGTTTAATTATAGCAAAGAACTCAGAAAGACATATAAAGATACAAAACTCACTAACTCCGAACTATTAGAGTGTCTGTATAGTTTCTCTGTTGGTAAAATTCCAGACAAATTTAAAGAAATACAGAGAGTTGTATCACAAGACAAAAATATAAAGGAACTGCTCTTACAAAATGAAATTCGAACTTTTGACTTTACACTTGCTATAGAAATATTACGATATTGGCTTGAAGGCAAGTTGTTAAATGATTACAGAATCCGTGGCATCATGGGAAATATTGAGCCATTAATTTATGGCCGCCCTTATTTATTTCAAACACTTAAGAAGTCAGTCGGCGTGTTTTCACAGACGAAATATCAAAACCATGAGAAATTCTTGCTCGTTCTTTCTACTGAAGGACCTAGTAACGAGAAAAATTTTTTGGAAGAAATCGAAGAGGCAACAAAAAGCACAAGAGATAAAAAGATAACAGTAGTAAGTTGTTACATCAGTAGGTCAAATGAAAAAGATATCTCTCAATCTCGCACTTTATTCGGTAGCGTAAAAGAAAAATGGGATATAGGTGCACGTGCGCTGTTCAATTTGAGTTCAGGAATATCAACCAAGTTATTGCCTCATGCAATCTTTCGTGCCAGAAATTGGAAAATCGAAACAACCAATGATGAAATTAAATTGTTCCTTCAAATCAATGACCCCGATCTTATACAAGAAGCGTGTAATTTGGCTTCAGAAGTAGTAGGTTCTCAAGATGCACTCCTCGATATTCTTGGGAACATCTCGCTAGCAAAGTACATAATGAAAACAAATGATGAATTTACCGCAAAAAACCAAGTAGGAGGAACGTGTTACGCAAATGCCTCAGCTGCTGTTCTCCATCTAGCAATGCAAAGAGTTCTCAAACGCACAGGTGGTTATCCCGAATTCGAGGACATACTAAAACTTCTGATTGACAAATACGGTGAACATGGTGCAAACACATTAACAGTACTTACAGATATTTGTCCCAGTTATCGTTTGCATTGTCAAAGTGTAAAAGCAGACGAAGCAATTGACGCTATCTCAAAGGGTCGTTCGTTGGTCGCAAGATATAGTCTAACTGACGTTGAATGGAACATTTTTTGTGATTTTTTCAAAAACAATCCGAAAGGTATTCTTACAAAAAATGAACTTGATATAGACAAACGAATACCGGGCTCCGAAACAGAAGGACATGCTGTAGTGCTCACAAGTTTTAATAGTGACTGCTTCCGTTTTATGAATTCCTGGGGAGAAGAATGGGGAGACTTGGGTTTTTGCAGAGTAAAAAATGAAAAGGTTTTAGGTATGGAATTTATTGATGTCTATTGGTCCTTGAAAGATCTTTATCCTGAGGAACTGGAATACTTTAAGAATCATGGCGCTTCCTTGGCAAAAAGCTTGTTACAACGATTTACAGACTTGAATGATAAGACCTACGCATGTCCCAAGTGCAACTCGGTATCAAAGGTGACCGAATTTACTGGAACGTTATCGAAGGCATGTTGTCCAAAATGTAAGAAAAGATTTGAATGCAGTGACGATATTGTAATGAACTTGTACTTGTCCTCGATACTTCAAAAACCTTAAATCAGTGTTTATCAACTCGCTGAAATTTCAAATCCACATGTGACAATTAATAATGCAAATGCTTATAAGATTTTCATTTTATTTTATTACTCAATATATTGTTTATTGTCAACAATGTCGTCATGAAGTCATACTTCACGAAAAATATAATTAACGGAAACTTGATATTAACAGAGTTGTTTTTATCTGTAATTCGACCAATATAATGTGTATTATTATACTTTACTATATCAACCACTAATAAAATAATCAAGATATTACTGTATATTTTCCATCCCTTCAGGGAGAATAACCCTTTTTTCCCGCGGCAGATATCGCGTGAACAAAATAACTGTTCAGGAATATGTGCGTATGCAAAATAACTGTTTGGGAATATGCGCGTAGGCACAATAATTGTTCTGGAATATTCGCGTATTGAAAATAACTGTTTTGGTGCACATTGCACGTCAAAATAATAACTAGCACGCGCCTGATGAAGCTACTTTGTTTAGCGAAATATTGCGTGAATATATAAAGTAGAACAACTATTTTTATAATACTCATTAGTGTGTTAAAGTAACATTCTTAGGCATTGATATAATTTAATTTAGCAACTGCATCAGTTTATTTTCAAACTGATCCACGCCTAGATGGATTGATTGTTAATTATATATATATAATCTTCCTGCCTAATATATCATGTACTTTGTTACACCTCTAGATTCTACTGACGAGGAAAGGTAACACTATGCCACCAAAAGCTGAATTTGTAGCTAGTCTAGGTGGCCGAGTGGTCTAGAGCGCTGGACACAGTGCAGGCGGTGTTGTCTCGATATCCCAATAGCAAGAGTTTGAATCCCGGCGAGGGAAGAACAAAAATCTGCTTCCGTGGTTGTCGTTTGTTGCTATATATCATATTAGTTTCTCGTTCATCATTTTGTAACTAAATCAAGCCGTAAGTTTTCCCGTTTGAATTGTTTTACATTTGTCATTTCGGGGTCTTTTATAGCTGACTATATATATTCGGTATTGGTTTTGCTCATTGTTGAAGGCCGTATGGTAACCTATGGTTGTAAATTTCAATTTCATTTGCACTCTTGTGGAGTGTTGAGACAAGTTAGTGACGCTCTAGAACAGTTGGAAGGTCAAATTAAAAACGAATTTGAAGAGCATTCAACACCGAAAATTTCTAAAACTGTACTAGACAACCACCACTTTAAGATGAATTGTAAAATTGGCCTAATGGGTAAAGATTTGTATATTAAAGGCTGATTCCCTACATTTTCTTCACATTTTAATTGATGTATAACTTAACAAGGGAATGAATCATATTGCAGTTGCATAGTTATTTTTTAAGTTTTCATTTGTGTTTTGTCTTTAATCTTTACAAAACGCGAGTCAGATGAATCCAATCTGGAAACATTTTTAAAAAGAATCAAGTTGTGAATGTTTAATCCTCCCATTACGACAAATATGATGATGTTTCAGTAGACAAAGCCTCAAAAAATACATATTTATACACAAAACCATAACTTTCAAAGTCACACTCAAGAACTAGGAATTCATAGCAAAACTTGACACATCCAAAGTATACTACATCTTCATCGAAATAGGAGGTTTAAGAAAATCACAAATGAGTCCTTCTTTCCTTTTGTATTAACATACAAAAAGACGATGATAATATCATATCTTTACACTGGATTTATAAACTTCACAAAACTCCTTATACAAAACGTTGTATAGTCAGGTCGTCAACTTTTTCGACAAACATCTTTCAAAAGTTCTAACCACCATTCTTTCCACAGTAAAAGGTGGCCCTTTAAAATCTTGTGATGAGTTATATGTAACCAGGGGTGTAGATAAGATATAGATTCTTAAAAGTTTAAAAGATCTACTCCAAAATCTTCAATCAAAATCTTTATAATTTTACAGTAATATCTTTCAATTTTGTATGCGTGGCCCTACTAATTTCCGTGATCAATTGAAAGATCGATAATATGGTCAGCGTCTCATGCCATTTAACAGATCCTTATCTGCATAATTAGAAAAAAATGAAAACAACACGTTATCGATATAATGCGTCCAAAACGCTTTTCTGGATTTACCTTCATCAGGAACGCTCAAAGCCTAATATTTAAAAGCCAAGGATGTATAAGAACCGAAAAAGTTAAAGAGCTATGTTACCAAAAGTATCTAAACGATAGCCAAATCCATCTAAGGTCAACTTTGCCTGAGGGAGTTGAAACTTCAGTTTCTTTGTAATTTTAAAATTTGCTTTGCGCGAAAAAAAATAATTCTGACTCAGACAAAAATCCATACCCCCCTGCCCTTTTGAAGTAAAATGGTTGTTCCCTAATTGAAGCATAAACCCCTTGAATTTTTTTTTTACCTTTCTTAGTTTTTTAATCGCCTGACATAACCGTATATTATAAATGGTAATAAAACAGTAGATAAGAACCATAATACAAATATACTTTAAAAAAGTGTTCAGTGATGTAGTAAATAGCAAAAAAAAAACATAAAAAAAAAACATAGAAAAAAGTTGCACTATTATTGAGTGATTCAAATGGAAATTTTACATTATATCATTTTACAAATTCTTGTCTTCGTGTACTTTGTACATGGATTAATTTATGAAGTTGCTTGATTGTTATTTGCTTTACGTCCATAGGCAAATATTCCATGCATGTTCATGACGAGAAGGCATCCATTTTAAATACAATAGTTAGGGCTTGCAATAGGAGGTCGAATGTGGTCCGTGAAACTTGGAAATAAGGATATTTTTTATAAGGACAGACATTTAGCCTTGAAACAGTTGGCCACATCCGAGCCCCTCAAATAAATGAGCTGCGTCGGATAGAAATCGACCTTATGCAAATGAATATCAATGCAATTGTTAACCTATTTCGAGTTGGAAAAAATCTTTACGGAAAGTCTGTAACTGTTTGAAAATTGAGTTGTTACAAGAACCCTACAAAACATACCAAATTTTATCTTTTATTTTGTATTTGAATGTTCCAAAATCAGTCAAAGTCTTATACATGTGCATGTATACGTGCACTTGTATATGGTCGATTTTTATCCGACGCAGCACAAATGATGCAAGAGTTTTTAATTTGCATAGAGCGTAGATCCATGAAATCTACTCTGAAGTCGTTCATCGATATTTACGTGTAGTTTCCAATTTCATTTAACACATCAAATTGACGTTAGGTAGACACTTTTAGCTCGCTAAAGTAACTGTGAGCAGTCCGTGAAACTGTATTGTTTATTGTAATTTGGTTTTTGGTATGACATTCTATACTACCGCTCTCCTGGTTGGTCTCTTGAAAGTGTAATCTCCTCGAGAGTGGGAAGTCGTTGGTTCAAATCACGACCGGGTCAATCAAAGAGTTAAAATTGGTATTTGCTGTTTCAACGCTAAACACGCAGCATTTAAAAGTAAGAGCACAGACTGGTAGGCTCGGAGTCAGAAATGTGTCCGGGTAGGGTGAATTTTTTTCCTGCGAACTGTTATCTTGTGAACTTACACGCTAAAAATCCGACTCAGCGTGTCGGTCTAGTACAAAGCAGGGTTCATATCATATTATATTTACATGTTATCGTCCTAAATATTCATTCCCCATTTCCATTACACCCCAAGGGTGACTGGGGAATAGAAATATGGTCACCATTGGTCTTCCTCCGACCGGCGATAAAACCCTCGCTAAAGTTGGGCGTCCGTTTGGCTGTGCGGGATGTACAAGTTCGCAGTCACGTCCGGTCAAAATGGGGACGTTAAATCCGATGCCTCGTGTAAAGAGAGTGCCACGTTCTTTGCACGTTAAGAACCCTTGCAACAACTCTTTGAGGGGTCCGGAGGTGGCCTGTTGCAAGGTTAAATTTCTGTCCTTATCCAATATACCCTCATTTTCCCGTGGCAGTCCAAATTTCCCCGGCATCTATTACATGACCTACCTATTGTATTTATTGTTAACTTGTTCTTGTCCTGAACATCCATGAAATATTTGCCACTGGACGTTAAGCAACCAACAATCAATCAATCAACCATTCTCTATTTTATTTAATTTGCCGCTGGACGTCATCCATTATCATCATTTACTTTACCGCAACTATACAGTGCTACTGGTTTATACTGCACCTTTTTGAATTTCCATCGATCGAAGTTAAAGAAGGGCAGGTCATATTTTCAACCAAACACGTGTGCCTGTTGGGATATCTTTGACGGTAAATAATATTAAACCAAATGTGCCTGTTGGGATATCTTTGACGGTAAATAATATCAAATCAAATGTGCCTTTCGGGACATCTTTGACGGTGAATATTATTAAATTATCTCCTTTCTTTTTTAGCCAAGGGGCGGTTTTGAACTTATTATTCTGTAAGGCATCTTTCAATTACAAAAGACTGCATGTTGACTCTTTATGTTTTGCTTTGTCTGTGTCGTTTGATTGCTGTCGCATAAATGTAAACCTTTATCTCCTTTTATTCATTGGATTGGCTTGGGTATAGAAATATTGGCATCTCTGAACTTCTCCCGTCCGACCGTATACCCTTGCTATATAATAATTGTTCTGCTCATTTTGGGCGCCGTGATTGGCAAATAAATTATTTCTTTGTTTGTTTGTTAGCTTGTTTGTTTGTTTGTTAGTTTGTTTGTTAAAGGGGTGCGTTCGTTTGGCTTTTCGAATGTATAAATACGCGGCTTCGTCCATTCGAAATAGAAATGTCGTATATCCGATGACTGGTGTAGTGAGAGTTTCACCCTATCTATACGTTAAAGAAACAAACATTACAGACATGAACCAATCTTTGGGGTCACCATCATTGCTCCTATGCATCAATGTACCAGCAGCACCTGCGTTTTAAGCTTAATTCTTTCAAAGCATACCTTAAAAGAGAGTTGTGTTGCAATGTGAGAGGCGTTTTGGGCAGGGACAAACTACAGCCTCAACCATTGGTTTGTTGACTTATTATTGAAGTATTACTTTTGTAAGTTTTATGGTCGTCATTAAACGCAGATTGACCGTTGATCAGAATAATGCACAATCATGCACGCTACATTGATGTAATCAATTAATAGATATAATCGACGATATTTCTGATAAGACTTTGTTCTTCTATGATATAAATTATACCCCAGTAGCCAACCCAATTAGTACTAACTTGCGAATTTAATGTCGACACGTTACGGAGGCATCCGAGAACAAAACCAACAGATTTTGTAGAGATATGTGCTGTCCTTTTCAATAGACACAAAAAAACGTTTGATTTAACATTT